AGATATGGCCAAAGTAAAATTTTAAAATTTTCATGTAAAAGTGGGTCAAACTCAAAGGTCAAGGTCAAAAGGTCAAATTTGGTGGTACCCAAAGAAAGGTCTTGTCACAAGGAATACACATGTGAAAAATGAAAGTCATAGCTCCACTAAATCAAAAGTTATGGGCAAGGTTAAAGTTTTTGCGGACAAACAGACAAACAGAGAGACAGACAGAGAGACAGACAAACAGACAGATGGACACGACAAAAACTATATGCCCCCGAAACTTCGTTTACGGGGGCATAAAAATAGGATGACAGACTAGAGAGCTACAGTGCCACCTACTGAAAAAACTGTGTACTTATTGCCCACTAAAAGTGAACTGTTTCTCAATTTATTTCTCCATGTTTATAAACTGTCATCTCAAAACATTACTTACCTCGTGTTCCTAGCATATTAATTCACTGTTTCTTCAAAAAAACATTCCTTATAATTGTTGTTATTAGCCCTACTGACTACTGACTCTGAAATTGAGATCATTGAAAATTTCGAGCATTCATACTGCCATTTTTGTGTGCAAGATAATTCGGTCCAACATGCTTCATGCAGATGTCTACTACGATTGTACTTGAAAAAGAAGTAAGGAATTATTTGAAATTTATATTTTTTGCGTTTGGAAGAATTGATACAGAACCAAGCATAACTTTAGTGCACAATAAATACACATATATAATAGGTTGCAATGTAACTCAACAGTCTGTCAGCATATTTTTTCAGAGAGATACAGTTCTGCCGCTATGTACATGTATGTTGTTTTACGTCTCGATTGAGAATTTTTCAGGAGACATCAACGTATACCGATGAAGGGCTAGAAGCTTATCCTTGATTGACTGTTAAAGTCAGCCATATTGTAAAGTGATTATTAATAATAATGGTCATTTTGTTTTATATTTTAGGAGAAGTAGAGGTTGACCAATCAAAAAAATAAAGATCCAGCTAGGCGGTGCATCACTCCACCTGTTAGCTGCAGAACTGTAGCTCTCTGAAAAATATATTGATAGACTGGAGAGCTACAGTGCCACCCATTGAGAAAACTGTATATTTATTGCGCACAAATAGTTGCGCTTGTGTAGGGATTAATTCTTCCAAATTGTTACCTCAATTGCAAAAAAATTAAATTTCAAAAAATTCTGTACTCTTCTATCAAGTACTTTCGTAGTTGACATCTATACTAAGTGCATTGGATCGAATTTTCTTATAAACCAAAATGGCAGTATAAACAGACAAAATTTTAGAACTTTCGATGATCTCCATTTCAGGGCCAGGAGGGCTATAAACAACTACTATAAGGTATGTTTTGTTGTGGAAACGGTGGAAGATTATGCTAGGAATACACATTTAGTAATATTTTGAGATTATAATTTTTAAACACAGAGAAATAAATTAACAAACAGCTCACTTTTTTGTGCACAATAAATATACAGCTTTTTCAATGGGTGGCACTGTACATAGGTCTCTGATCTGTCAAATTATTTTTTCCGAGAGCTACATTTCTGCAGCTATCCACCTGTAGACTTGGAGAACTGTTTATTAGGTTTGTCATTCATTTAATCAACTATACCGTGTGAATTGATGTGCTGTTGCATAATTACTGTTTACATTTTTCTATTTAATTACGCGAGCCCTAAATAATAAATGTAGCAAGTCACCCCCCTCCCCCCCCCCAAAAAAAATTAAAAACAAAAACAAACAGAATGAATTTCATGCCCACAATAGGACTCAGGAACTCTTCAACAAGAACTCCTCAAATTTTGTGAGAATGCCTCTTACCCCTTGGAATCCTCCTTCTTCACATCAGGGAATATGAGTTCTACAATTGTAAATGTGAATATTGCTCTCCACGGGTAAGTGGTGGTGTCTCCTTATGAGTGAAAAATTCTTGTTAAACAAAACATAATCAATCAATCCTACATACCTGGGTATAATCATGACTTATTACAAAAGGTGTTTCTATGACTTACTTGAACAGATCTTCCTAGTATCATGACTTACTATATGTAAAACAAGAAGCCCACAGGCCTTATAGGTCACCTAAGTATCATGTAAAAACTTTCTAACACTTGAATTTGGTTCATGTTTTAAACTATAAGCCATGAAACTCACAATTTTGAAAAAAGCACCATTATTTATTATAACTATACACTTAGCATGCTTACTCTGCTCAATTAATACCCAGAGGTAAATCAAAGTAACAAAGAGAAAATGCATTTCCACTTCTTTGTGATCGGTAGGTTGTGTGTTCGTATCTTGGCCGTGACAGACCCAAGTCAATAAAAAAAAGGAAGCAGCTGTTCCTTCACCATGAGCTCCGCTCTTTGAAGTGAAAGTTGCAGGTCCTTCAGATAAAACCATAAAAACCAAGGCTTGTGTCAGCAGCATGCATTGGCACGATAAAGATCCCTCACTGCTCAATGGCCCTGAGTGCCGAGTAAAGGTCAAAATTTAAAGCTCTTTATTAGAATACAGTGACATCTCCATATGAGCGTTAAATTCTCAAGAGGGACTTCAAATAATATACAAATCATTTCCACTTTATTACCACCACTTGTGCACCTCAACACACAGGAACCACTGACAGATATTTAAAAATGTTGAAAATTTTATCATAAGTCTTGAATTTCATTTCATCATAAATGCTTGATTAAAATCACACAGCAGATTTCAAAGCATTACTTTAATTTTAGACTACATTGTATGCCCCCCCCCCCCACCCCGCAGTACCATTTTGGACGAGGCACCTTTTTTACAGAATAAATATGTACCTAGATCATTGGTTTAATACCCAGAAGCAAAGGAAAAGAATTTCCAAAGAATTAATACAATTCTACAATATAATCATTAGAGCCCCACCCAAACGCAAGAACCCCTGATCCAGGGGTCATGAAATTCATAATTTTGGAAGAGGCATTCTCACTCATAATAACATGTAATTTGTTTGTTTAATACCCAGGAGCAGTGGCGAAGATTTTCACAGAATTAATGCATTTTCAGTACATAATCACACAAGAAGCCCTGACACAGGAGCCATGAAATTAACAATTTTGGTAGGAGTCAATGCTAATTACAATCATGGCAACAGGTTGACTGCTTGGTGTTCAGGAGTATAGGAAAAGATTTTTAAAGATTGCATTAATTTTAGTGGTTTTGGACCACCCCTAAGGCCCCAGGAAGGGGGGGGGGGGCTGAGACCATGAAATTCACAATTTTTGTTCCCCTTCACTCACAGATGCTGTGTGCCAAAATATGTTGAAATTGGTTGAGCAGTTGCAGAGATAAATCTGAAAATGTTCAAAAGCTGACTACATGTGTAGGTGACTAGAAAGATCTTTCTATAATACTTATTACAAAACATCTCCCTATGATGATTTATCACAAAAAATCTTAATTCAATGCTTCTGCTTTCAGCTTCAAAATATGCATCATTTATAGTGAGAGAAAGTTGTATGACTCATACCCCTCTGTTCATTTACATTCTCCTCTATGAATGCTTCTCTTTCACTGGAATCCCCTTGTCCTCTTTTTCTCCTGTATTTGCATATTAACAGACCAAAAACTATAATTGGTAGGACAATGCCAAGCAGAATACCAATAAGTCCAAATTTCCTACAAAGGAAAAACATGTATCATCTTGATTAATTCAAGAGAATAAAGCTTATTTAATTAAACAAATAAACTTCATCATAAAATTGCAGCCGACAATATAATTGTGAACACAATTCATTTCTTATACCTGTCAGAAGCACTAGTGGAGTCACTATCCTCACTTCTCCAGATTGCCCTGGGAGTTGTTTGAGCTGGAGACACTGTTGTATGTGAGGGTTTTGTAACACTCATTGTTTCAGTAGATGGTCTCTTTGTTGTTTTCTGCACATTTTCATAGCATTGTGGGTCTATAAAAGTAAATAAAATTGGACTGCTTAAAGTTAATAATATTCTATATCTTCCACACTCATGTATTTGCCCTTTTCTTACCTTGTGTGATATCATTTTGAAGGGGAAAAAATCAGAATGTCAATGCTACTCAAAAACTCAACTTTACGAAAAATTTAAGTCTTATGTATATGATATAAAAAGAAAAATATAACATTAAGCAATAAAGAGAATAGTCTAAAACAGGGTATGTAACCTGAAACTGTAAATTGAAGAAAAAAAGTCTTCTGCACTGCTTGAGGTAGATTCTTAAATTTCAGCTTTTCTGACAATTTGAAAATGATTCTTAAAGATTATAACTATACCTTTTATCAAATATTGCAATGTATAAATTAAATTTCTTTTTCTGACCCAATGCAACCCCCAGGTGGTCATGACTTGGACAAATTGATTTAACATTACTGTTAACGTATTACATTTGGCTGTGTATTCTTTTTAGCGCCTTTCGCGGAAAGCAGCCTCCGCTAAATCAAGTACATCGCTAAATGCTTTGTGTATAAAGGTTTATGAAACGTACATTCAAAAAGCGCTAAATCAAATCTACGCTAACTTGTTGAAAATTCAATTTCCGCCAAATATCGTACACGCCAAATATAATACATTTACAGTATTACATGATGCTACCACATAGCTTTTTGTCATTTGATTCTGCTAACTATTTGGTTATTGAGTAAATGATCTTAAAGAATTTCTCTGACATTTTAATAAGTTATTGTCACCCTCATTAAGCAGTGGTAAGAGCCTCTGCTATAGAGTCTTAGAGTATGGCATTTATCCTTACATCGTGGCTTCAAATCCCACTGTGGGACATGGAGACCAGTCCTTTGGATGAGACCACATAAATAGAGGTCCCAATTGTCGGTGCTGGCATGAAAAAGATCCCTCCTTTCTCGATGGCCCTGAGTGCTGAGTGTAGGACAAAATTTGCAGCTCTCCACCGAAAAGTGGTTACAATTCCATATGAGTGTAAAATTCTCGAGAGGGACATTACCCTTACAGAAATTTCTGATAAGTGACTTATATGTGATTTATTCTTTTACTTATAAGTTGTTTATTCTGGACTTACACTTCACTGATACATTTAACTGATAAGTGACTTATAAGTTACTCATTAGAATTTTATATGCAAATGAGCTACTTAACCTATAAGTGACTTATAAGCCAGTATTAGCCACTTATGCTTTATGCAGTATAGTCACTTATAAGTGACTATATGTGACTTATAAGTCAAGCATTAACCTTTCATACTTTATCAAGTATTAGTCGCTTATAAGTGACTATAAGTGACTTATAAGTGAAGTACAACACTACCAGTAAGATCTTAACTTACAGTCCCTGAAACATTCTACTTTCCCACCTGAATGGTGAACGAACGCTGAACGAACAGTGAACGAACGGTGAACGAACGCAGAACGGTGAGTGAACGATGTGCGAACGCTGAACGCAACTTGTTCAACGATATGTGAACGGTGAACAGTGAGTGAACGCAGAACGCGAATGGAGCGCAAACGCGAGCGCAAAGTGAACAGTGAACGAACGGTGAACGCAAGATGAACGATTTATTCGGAATGCCTCCGATCTTTTCCTTGCATTGAAATTATTCTATTATTCTATAATTCTAATTCAGGTGCTTTAATATAAAAATAATAGAAGATAAATAATAAAAAAATAATAATAAATAAATAATAAACATTATTTCTGTACATATATATACCTATGTCTTATTTTATAACACGATTTTAATTGCCGTAAAACATGTGTATTTGTTACTGAACGCGTGTAGTTTGAATATAAAATTAATCTATTTATATAGTAAATATGCTTATTCTTTTAAATAATAAAATAATGTGGACTTAAGAAGATAAAACTACTACTTATAGAATGAATTAATTACATTGTATGCGGTACATACATGAACGAACTAATTATCGCTTGTAAACAAACAATATAGTAAGTTGTACAGTATTATGTTCTCGTCAAATAGTGTGCCCTATTGTGATAAACCATGCATACAGTTTAGATGTTTAACGTTTTTTTTTTTCTCTGATGTTCATTCTTGTTTACTGGTTATTGTGGTCAAGATACTTTGAAAAATTTTTAAATACACCAAAAATAATTTTTTTAAATACACCAAAAATAATTTTTTTTTTTTTTTTTTTTTTTTTACAAATAAACATTTCTCAAAGCTTACATAAATATTTTGTCGGCAATGTACATGCACACGACATAATTTTCGGGAATTTGTTTATAAGTATTTAGCTCTGGAGCTTAATTTTTAAAATTTCTGCAAATGAAAAATTGATAAATAATTAATAAAATCATTTTTAGAGATTCGCAAGCATTGAATCAATGGTAACATGGATATAACTTGTAATTTAAGACATTTCATGCTGCGTTTTTTTTTTCAATCGTATTCCACTTTCTGCATATTATGAAATCCAATTCAATCAAATTTTACGGTCCACCTACATGTACACCTTCTGATAGAACAAACAAATCCGTTTTCTTAGGTCTGAGAATTATCTAAATAATTATTTATAATCTAAAATATTAAAATAAGTCTTACATGTATTTAGTTCCAGAAAAAGTCTATGAATAATATTAACTAGAACTGTCCATTAGGGACAAATACCCCCCGCTGGGTTTTTCAGAGAAGGTGCCAATTCAAAAATACTTTATGGATCTAGAGGTGTTCACAATTTACTTTTCCTTTTTTACGTTTCCTTTTTTACTAAAAATTTGCAGTGAAATACAATTGCTCATCATGTTTCTTAATGAATGAAACAAAGGTGCAACCAAATGAAACATCAAAACTAATACATTGTAATTCCATTGTAACATTTTGTTTTAATTTTTTCATTTTATTTTTTTTTATTACTGCATTAAAAAAATATATTGCAATTATGTGTTATGTCACTCTGCAAACTGATTGTTGAAAAAAAAACCATTATACAAAATCAAATTAATCTTGATATATCAATTTGAAATGCATTTCGAAAATAAAGAGCTGGTCATCCAGTGATGAAGTGCTTTGACAGAAAATAAATTACAATTAAGAGAATAAGAGAAGAGAGATCTTTAATTCTTGTGCCTTATTCCCTGGAGATAGATAACACACACACTTGACAAGAGATACTTCCAACACCAAACTCATTAATTTATCTTTAACTGGATGCATGTCCAGTCATTATTCCCAAGAGACAAATGAAATTACATTATCTTCTGTGCAATGTAAAAACTGTTTTTAACACTTTATGATGTTTCTTTTTTTAAGTTTATATGAGTAGTTTTAAGCTGTAGCATTTTTGAACAGATATTCTAGATTCTATATCTCAAACCTTATACATGAACCCCATATGAACAAGTCAATTAAAATAAAAAATATAGCCTGTAGAATGCAAAAAAATTAACAAAAAGAGTTGAAAATTCCAGGTGCACACCTTCATATGGTGAATAATAAGTGTACAAATTTTCAGATTAATCCTTGCAATAGTTTCTGAGAAACGGTCCAGACAAAACCACAAAATAAAAATGAAAAAACACCTGTAAAATTCAAAATAATAATCCAATCAAGATGAAAATATCAGGTGCACAACTTCATATGGTGAATAATATGTGTACAAATTTTCAGACAAATCCTTCCAATAGTTTCTGAGTAATGGTCCGGACAAAATCTCGTCTACAGACAGACAGACAGACGGACAGACGGACATAGTGATTCCAATATACCCCCCCTAAACTTCGTTTGCGGGGAGTATAATAATTCTTTGAAATCTTAAATCAGTATTACATGTAAGCCGTATTTCGTTTTGAAAATACTACAGTACTGTTGGCACAAATTTATTCTAAAATAATATTGTTTAATGACTGTTTGATGTTGTTTTAAGACTGATTTTCTTGAGTTACAATACACATTTGATATTAGGTAAAATGTACTGAAAATACTAAGAATTTTATTACGGGAGAAAAGGCACCGAGGGTGGGGACGGGGGGCTTAATTATCTTGAATGGCAAACATATATTTTGGTACGGTGAAGAGAGGAATTTTCCATCTGTAATAAAAGATTATTTTAAAAAGTCGGTGTTTTCTAAAATTTAAAACCACACTATCAATTCAATTAGCTCTAAAAATATTTAATTAATATTTGCAGTACTGTTCATAATTCTAAGACCTACCTGTAGTTTGAAACAGGTGTTACTGTAGGAATAATTTTTTGTTTATTCATGTCTTGTAAAAGACTTGCATTAAATTATCATACATCCATTGGTGATTTGTCATCTTTAACATTGCAACAAATTTGTGCCGTGCATAAAGCATTTGTACATTGCCTTTTTTAAATTTGATATTTTTAGCATCTTTCTACATACATATACAGTATGTACTTAATGTATTATTTTCTAGGCAAATTTCATGAATAAAGTAACAGCTGAGTTATGACAATAAAAATATAAATACCATAGATAATTTTTGCAGTGAAATAATTATTCTTCAAACACGATATCTAAGTTATTTAATTCAAAAACGTGTAATTCCTTACCATCAAAAAGATAAGTCCTTTCACTTCGGAGTTCCGAATGACAATAAAGACTGAACGATAAGTGAACGGTGAACGCAAGGTGAACGCAAAGTAAACGGAACGAAGAGCGAACGGTGAACGTTTTGTGAACGGTGAACGCAATACTGTGAACGAAGAGCGAACGGTGAACGCACGCTGAACGAACGGTGAACGAACGCTGAACGAACGGAAAATTGGGAAAGTAGAACGTTTCAGGGACTGTAGAACAGAACTTCCAACCATGCAGGGGTTGCATGATATGTTCAAAGCTATTTTTTACATCTACACATGTATCTGCAGTTTAGATGAAATAATCAAGTAAAAATTTTATGGAAAAAATCACTTTCATTTGACATTTCTTTGATGATGCAAACTTAACATATTAATTCAGTTTAGTACAAACA